GACGCTTATTCGATACCTTAGAGTACTGAGCAGATAGAACTTTGTAATTTTAAGACAGCGAAATACATGTCTTGGTAAACCAGCTTACGAGACTGACAGCTGGGAAGACAATTGTGTTGTTGTTATGGTTGACACAAATAGTATCCGCCATCGGTGTCTCTCACCTAGCGGTTATCAAATAGGTTTTTCATGGGCAATAACCCCATTCCCCTTTCCCAAAGGCTAATTTTGTTTACCTCACAAAACTAGTCAACGTATGTCACCTCCCTGTCTCCACCACTCCCGGTAATCGATACCCATTTCTGTAATTGACGTTTCGTTATTTCTCTTTGCAAAACATTAAAGTCCGTGACAAACAAAAGAGCATGCCAGAAAACACAGTCACTCACCACCACCCTCACCTCTTACCGTCAAGATGCATTCTAATACATTCTCAGTTGGTTTGCTTTTGTAAGGAGTTATACGGCGCTTACAACAATACATATTCTTTTAACCTTAATTGCCCATAAATGAGGAGTGAGTAATGATAGAATGAAACAGCACATAAACACAAACCCTCAGAAGGTGGTTGGCGGGTGCTCGGGTGTGGTTTGCTCCTTCTGTCCTATCAAACATCTATCGTCCTTAATAATAATAATAATAATAATTTATATTCCAAATCCTAGGTGTTTCAAGTAGCATCACCAGTGTACATGTATGTGATGGACGTGCTCCTCGTTTGATTTGTAAAAATTAAGTGAGTTCGATTCCCTATTTAAAAGTATAGAATCTACACTTTATCGAGTATCTCCGCCGTTTTGCTTTGGGACAGAATCCAGAAAACCCGTGTTAACGCAGACGTGGAGGGTTGAAACATCTGCTTGCTTACAAAGGCCTCATTGAGGTGTAAAATAATATAGCATTTAGAGAACACATCGTGGTATCTGACGCCTCACTATCCTGACCGAATTGTTATTAAATTGCATTCAAATTTCAAAGCAAAATCTGAAACGACTTGACTTTGTTGAAGTAAATCAATAGAGCTAGGCTAGGCCTAGATCTATATCTAGATGTCAATAACTAGAAATTTTACTTACTCTCTAAACTAAAGAATTTCCGATGGTTACATTTACGTCGAAACTGGTGACGCACCTGCAAGTTTAAATAATGCTCTCGTGCGCCTTTCAAACTCAGAAAATTCGATGGATATACTGTTGTGTGGACATCTCACTTGAACTTTCTTTGTTTTGAAATTGCCCTAAAGATTTCTTATCCCCCCCCCCCGAAAAAAAATCTTTAATGAAATGATAAAAACAATGGTAGTTATTCAATTCATCACTTTTTGCGCTCCCTGAAAGAAAACTAAAATCTAGAATCTAGATCTAGATCTAGATCTAGATCTAGATCTAGATCACGAGAGAGAAATCTTCAGGTCATACCGCTACTGTGATCAAGGTCAGATTTGTTTCTGTGGCAGGATATTTGAGATCAGTTTTCCAAAGTCGAGACACACCGGAGAAATGCTTTTGAAGACTGAATTATTTGACATCAGACACGGGTTTCTAATACCACTAAAGGTGAGTTGTTGTTGTTTTGGGTTGTTGTTTTTTTGGGAGGACTTCCGTTGAAAGATTAATATTCAGTCATTCTGTTAATTTGTTTTGAGCACCCTCATGCACTAATTTTTACGCGTTCACTGATAAATCGGGAGGACTTCTGTAACGAGCGACCACTATAAGACAGAGCAGAATTGAAGGCTTGGGGTAGGGGTAGGGGTAGGGGTAGGGGTAAGGGTTTTGTTAGGGTTAGGGGTAGGGGTAGCGTTATGAGTAGATAAATCTAGTTTTTAGTGACAAATATTGTTACAAACTAAAGAGAATACATGTGTTGTTTTGTTGTTTTTTTAATGTTTGTTTGCGGGTGTTGTTGTTTTTATTTTCTTGTTGTTGTTTTTTCTTGGTTGTTGTTGTAGTAGTATTTTTATTGTTCTAGTTGTTTTTGTTTTTTTTTTTTGGGGGGGGGGGGGTACTTTATGGATGTCTCAAGCATGGTCATTCATATAAAAATGTGATAATGAATTTCTCATTCTTTGCTAATTCGTAGTCTACATTTTGTTCAATCATCATCACCACTATGTGCCAGACCTGGACAAACATCAGCATAGTAATTCTCTATTCATTCTTTTGCTTTGCTCAGATGCTCTTTAAAAAAACTACAATCCTGGTCTTTCCCCGTTACCCATCGGTTTCTGCATGTTCCAGGCATTTAAGTCTATTCAAGTATCTGAGACACAGCATTTGTCTATATCTATATCTAGATCTATATGTCTTTTATCAACGACTTGCATTCCAAGTACAATTTTAATTTGTTTTATTTTCCTTCCAAGAGACTCTCAGCAGTCTCCTATGAAACCATATTTATGTTGCTTCTATTTTACTTTCACTGTCCAGTGATTGTTCAGCGTTCACATCCGTGTAAAAGGGATGGCCTTGAGCACTATCTTTTTTGTTTGTCATTGGGAAATTATCTTTTTTTTACACCAAAATACCCTTCGTTCCCGTGGGAGAGGTTGAAACAGGACAAAGTGGGGGATCGCTGGGTCTGGGTGAA